AATCTAAATGAGAAGATTTCATAATTAAGATTGGTCTGCGTTACTTACTAGACTCGTTTTATTTCCCATATGGCCTTTAGGTTTATTGGATGATGACTCTTTTACTCTTGTTGTCACTGCGTCCAAGTGAACTTCAAATTACTTCTTGGTTTTGATAACTAACCACCTGATAAACTGTGTTGTCTGTTCTATAATCTTTGTATTTTTAATCATTTTCAGACCCAATCATCTACTAGAATCACACCGTGTCGCGACTCATCAACTCCTGCAGTCACTATATGCATTGTAGCTCGGCAAAGAATTGTTATTTATAAATTTTTATTTCATGATTATATTATCACCTTATTTAACCAAACAAGTACAACACTTCAAAACTTGGTATACAAGACACAATAATAAAGGAAACTTTCTTGTTTATCTTTACAGTAATTAGGTAGTTTTTTTTTGTATTTGTCACGCACTGATTTGTTTTCTTAAACAAAACAACATCTTAATATAATAATACAATTCTTAGCTATCTAAATAACTATATGGTTGTATTCCGGATTGATAAACAACATATTCTTCTGTGGTGTGGTCACAGTCAGGACTGGTTTTTACCACTCGTTAGAATTTTGCACAAAATTCATGCATCGATGTTGTAACTGAAAGCTTTAGTTACCAAGACAACAAAGACGACGACGATGATGATGATGATGATGATGATGATGAATGGCTTTATCAAATGTCACTCGTGTGATTGAAAATCTGTACAAGTTGCTTATATTTAAGAGAATAGCATTAGATGAAGTAGATAGATAAGGCAGTGAAATAATATAACATATTTATATGTCAAAGTTTATCATTTTCTTTTTTAAATAATTTACTGTATAACTAGTTTGTAAATTTTATTACTTTTGTTGTTAATAAACAATATTGAGAGCACTAGCTTAGATATATCTGAGCCAGAAATGTACTGCACATACTGTAATGTGTTCCATATCAAGACATAATAGTTAATCACATGGTTTTCATTTTCTTTAAATCAGATTTTTGATAAAAAAAATTACATATAACATATTACATATAAAAAAGGGGAAAAGTGTGGTTTCCTCAAGAAATACTTGAATAAAGCAAAAAGTTTATGCAAGAAATAAAAAGTAATATACTTGTGTTGTAGAGAGAAAAAAATGTCCGTTCTGTGGTTGAAATATTACATTAAAGCTAGTATTGTAGAATAAAGAATCGCTGTGTGATCCGTGGAGATCGTTCTAATTGTGTGAGCTGCTCTTATACAAAAACTTGCATTCTTTTTGAAAAGTGCAGCTTGCCCCCTCCCCCAACAAAACAGATCAGAAAATATTTCTGAATTCCGGTGGCATACCTATAAGAATGCTACATCTGATAAGAGAGAGGATCTTTGTTATTTGATGACGAATAACCGATCGGATCACGAGATCTACTCCTTCCTGATGTGGCATATTGGTTTTCCTGCTCTTCAAGTGTTATAACATCTGGTGTGTATTGATTCGGTGATGCAGTCGGGTTATACGAAGCCGCATTACGTCCTCTCTGCAATCTTGCCCGGTGGAAATTGTCATGAATGTGAGCATAATTTGAAGAAAATATCATCAAAAAGTGACCCTACAAAAAATAAGATGCTGCATGTGACTCTCTGTACTCACAAAAAACTCAAAAAATAAATCTTGTTTCCAAGAATGATACACCTAACTAAACCATATGGATCTGCTAAAGTAGCATAATAGGTGTGGTAGTAGCACAGCTGCTGAAATTCATACATTGAAACATACAGGATGCGTTTGTGAAAACAATTTCTATATTTTGCTCTGAACATAAATGGGATTACCAATAAATCCATCATAATCAAGTCGGTTATAAAATACAAATATGCATTCATTTGAAATACTAATACCGTATTTGCTTCATAGTAGCACATGTGCTTACATACGACAGACACGTCTCTGGTCAAAATGATCAACCAGCAGATGATAAATGATGCGAGTTTTAAGAAATGTTCTTCTAATAGAATTGATATGGTATATACAAATGGTTTATTACTTACCACCAATACAAGACACGCTATTGCACCCAATGTGCCAAGTAAGTACATATCCCAGGGGTTCTGTGAATGAATGAAAATGTACATGATTAGGTCATATTGCTTTATCAATTTGACTTCATAGAGATTCATTGCCAACTAAAAAATGGCGAGAACCATGGAATAGTTTTAGCAGGTGGTTGAATGACTGATGTAATTAGTCTGTGCATGTTATTTAATTAATTTGTTCTACAAAACTTGGCAGCTTGATTGCATTTTTTAAATTTATCATTTAACGATAATTCAAGGTATAAATACGTGATGCATAGTTGTTAATCTGTTTCCATTCTCATAAACTCGTTTAGCCTGTGTGGTGCATATACCGTAGTAGTGGTTGATGTGCCTCTCGTACGTAAACATGCATGTTAGTGTATAGTTTTTACCTCGACACAGATTGTCACCAGCGTGGACCCGCACACCCTAGCATGCTCATCTGGCAACGTCATGGGAACCAATCCTGGTGAAAAAAGTCAATAATAAAATTGTGCTTAATAATTTATACATGGTAACATATTGTATATAGGTCTGTATTTGATGTGTACTACCACCTGTAACATTACAATTGTTAACCCCCTTTTAGTATAAATTGACACGTGTCATGAGAATCCATGCCACCTTGCTATATTACGAATGAGGACTAGGTTTGGGGTCACTTGCATTCAAAATTGTATTTCTCGATGAATATGATTAAACATGTGCAGTTTAGCATTTCAGACCGACATGCCTGCAGATTTTTTCTTTCTTTCGAGGCTTCCTCTGGCCGTTGTTAACTACTAGTATGTTTATCAGTTTTGTTTTCCCCAAATTTTCCTATATTATTATTATTTTATAAAGTTATTTCCAAGTTGATCGCGTTTCTTTTTACGCGAGCCAACAGAAAAATACTTATTCGGTTTTGCAAAATGCGATGGCATAGCATGTCGCATGCGAGAGCGTCGATTTGAGTCACGCACGCAATACATGTTTACTTTGACTTTCTATGTTAAAAGTTGCTATGAATTTACAACTCATTTTCTAAATTACAAGTATGCTCAAGACCATAAAAGCACAGTCACACTCCTAGTAGAGTGACTGTGATAATAGTAAACTCGTCGACATTGCATCGAATTTTCGGTTTACTTTTGAAATACTAATGTTTTGGTTAGCTGGAGCACGGTGAATGTTCTTATGACACAAATACAAATTTTTCAGGTTGTTTGTGAAGCCATAGCAACAGAAACTTACCGAATTGTCTGAGATCGATACATCCACCTGGATCGCCACAGTGTGTTGTTTTGATGATAGAGAACCACCACAGTGGAATCATACAGATAGCAACCACTGCTATCCACGTCAAGAAAAATATATACACTACAAATCCAAACTGCAGCGGAAATAAAATAAATAAATATTAATATGAGAACCCAATTCAACCTTGACTCTCCTCATTTTACAAATAATTGGTTGAGGTGAAGATTTTGTGAAAATCAATTTATCGTGGGTGAAGAAATAATAATCCCCAAACTTGCAGAATAATGATGTCGGGTCGATAATGGTTAATAAGGGTTGATTCGCAGCGACTGAACATTTTGAGAACTTACCACAATCATCTGACAAATACCACATGCCTTGGATGGGAATCTACATACGTATTCTTTTCTATAAGAACCCGATGCCAGGCAACCAAGACAGAGTAGGATAAATGTAACGAACAGCATCACTCCAGTCAGACAATACAGTCCAATCTGTGCCCAGTAAATCCTATCCGAGAAACAGTTACAGAATACGTATATGAATGGGAAAGAACGTATTTACCGGTATGTAGTATTCAAACTGCAATTTTCTGTTTCTTACTGGTGGATGAATAATTTGTATTCGAGAAAACAATGTTACATTTAAAATAAAACTATTACTTCTATTTAATTGAAAATGTATTTATTTTATTACATTATAACGGTCTTCAATATATATGACAAATATATATAACCCACTGCGCAATGTTGCAATTTTAAATACAGATTTGACACAAAATTACTTACGTATCATTAAGTTGGTGGTAGGCTGCCGTGTCATAGAACAATCGCACTGTGTCTTCGGTTGCAAAATGTATACACACACAGAAGAGAATAACTGAACATATCATAAGTAGGAAAGTTAGTACACTCGGCCATGGCCACCGGTCACAGCATCTGGCAATGCCGGTCCTGTCTTCTTCTGAAGATAACAAAGACGATGCAATTATGGTTAATTGTTTTGTTTTGTTTTATATCATGGGTTAAAATGGGGTTTTCCAAGCTGTCTGAAAGTCGTAATATCCCGCGGTTTTAATGTATTTTCTATATAGAGCTAATATAAATAACGATACTTTGTCTGAAATTTTAGAACGGCACGCGTATCTCAATCTTTATAGTCTACTTTACGGCAATAATAATAATAAATATGGCTTCAGGAGATAGCATTGTCCTCATTCGATCAAGTTTTCTAATCCGATTTGCCACAATGCCGCAGTCAGATCAGAAACTATATTTACTAATTCCGAACAATTTCAACTTATTTTTGTGTAAAGCTTCAAAATATAGTTCCCTCCTTTTCATCTTATATATCAAGAGGGGGGCAAGGGTTATTTTCGTTCAACGTAATTGCAATATTTTTTGGTTCGTACAACGTAAATTGAAAAAATAAATTCCGTAATTCTGTAATCACATGCTAGACGTACAACGTAATCAATCAAATATTGTTTTCGTACACTGTAAAATGTGTCATTTTTCTCGGTACGTACAAGAATTTACATCCAAATAAAAAAAATCGTAAAGAGTAATCCAGGGAAATTACATTTTAGAAACTGTAAAACGACTAGATGACACAATTCACTACAAAATTGAATGTCAATACGTAAAAGGCCCTCTAACCGAATGAAGAGCATTACGAGGGTAATATGCGCATGCACGCACGCGGCGCAGCAATGTCGGAGAGCTCTTCGGACCATTCAATGTTCAATTTTTTATCACTGTAAACTGTAAAAACGTATTTTTTTCTTTGTAAATTGTAAAAAGCCCTTCTTATTTCCCGTAAAACTGTACCAGCTACCCCCCTTGCCCACCCTCTATCAACGATCTCTCACTGCAATCGAATTGATGCAATTTTGGTATGACTGCCAGGAACCAAACTCTTTGGAGACAATATTTTAGATAACAATAATCCCCCTGTCATTAGATAACGATAAACCCCCCTTTAATACATTTTAATGATAGACTATTCCATTTTCCCTCCATTTTTACTCGGCATTGTTCTGAACCAAACTCTCGAATAACTACGCCAATAAATGTGTAAAGACTCCTATTCCGAGTGTGTATATCGCCCTCATAGCGCTAACTCGCGTACAGTTTACAATGCAACAAGGTAATATATTAATTTAAAACGACAAATCTGCAAAACAATACTGAAATGATACAACCAAACCATTTAAATATATCACCATCCCCGTTATGAAAAACATACACAATTTATTTGGTCTGTACATTGCTATATCAGATATCACGATCGTTATAGGCTGGTAAGTCAAGGTTACACAAATGGTGGTTTAGGGTCCAAAGTGTGGGTTTTATTTGTTGGGCAAGTATCATTATAACAGTTTTAGTCGCGGGAGTTTATACAGAGGGCATCTCCGTGTTATGTTATCAGCTGGGTATTGCAGTAGAACAGGTGGTGGTATCGAATTCAATAATTTTATGATATTATTTCGAATGTTCAGTGATTTGTTCTTTGATTTCATGACATGATGTTGACCCTATAAATGTATTTGCGTCACCTGTCACGTGGTTCATATATACAACTCTTTATCTTACGAGTGGAAGAACTGCGGCGATGATATTATTTCATAAACACTCCTCAATGTGCGACAATTAATGCTGAAAACAGATGTTTTAATATATTACTCTGCTTGTAGGGTAACAGACGTTCTAGAAAATTATTAACTAATATACAAACTAACATATTTATATAGGTAAAATTGCCATGACCCCAGGGTTGTATGGCTGAGTTATTGTCATGTTTGCAGCCAACCAGACACTGTCTACGAGAGTGCACACCGAGTCAGTACCAATGACGATTACTCCACATCTTGAAACATTTTGAGCTAACGAAAACTGAAAACTCATTTGATATATGGTATGTCTTTATAATGTTCGGACTTACAAATGGGCGGCTTAATGGCGTTACTAAACATTATTGCAAAAATGTTATACTATCATCTGACTGTTAAATGTGCAATGTGGACGAGAACGTGTAATTTTAAGTTGTTTGGTCTAACTGTAAAAAACGTTGAAATAGTTGCTTGAAATTTTAGCGAATTAGACTCAATGATCGATTTAACAGAATCTTAATTTAGTCAAGTGTCAACTAACGCTGTGTATACTTTCTGATAAATTAGCTACATCTTGAATGAGCGAACTTACAGATTAGCTAAATTATCTAAAACAACATGCCAACTAAAAGACATGTTTTGCAGTATATATTGGTAGATGCATGGTTTATCATAAACTGAAAACATCGTTCTCGTAGCGCATATCTGAGCATTCGCTCGATGAAACAATAACACTCTATAATACGCATAATTATGCACTGGTTTTTTGGGTAGGCACAATAACAATCACGGCACATGCGTATTAGTGGTTTTGATTTTTGATCCAATGAATACTGCTGTGTCCTGTAAACGTAACATCTCTAGTATACGATATACCATAATCCGATATTGCCTACAATTTGGAGTATCTGAACAACAATATTGAAAAATATATTTTTTTTCGTCCAAAGTGCAAACAACCCGTCATTTAATTATTTATTTTCGGGTATTGAGCTGACTGAGAGTCCAGAACGCCTACGTCTTGAATTCCATTTTAATTACGCATACTACTTTACAATTACTTTAATTTATGTGTTTGTTACTCATGAAGGTGACTAAAATCTACATCGTCGATAAGTTAGGATTCGTTTAATTGCAATTTTCACAATAGGAAATCAATGTTCAAATTAAATTTCAAATATCAACGTATTTTACTATCGTTACAAAATTCTACGACACATAAACTCCAATTAACTAACTTTACGTGCAGCTTGCAGTTATAACCCCATGGCGTATTTTGAAGTCTGGCATAATATATAAGTTTACATACCCCTACCTCCAATGTCCATACATTTGAAAAAAATGGCGGACTCGATAAAACCAGTAAACTACCAAATATCTTACTTACCTTCGAAGTCATACCGCTGCATCGTGAATCGTCTTTCTGTGTCGACGATTTGACTTTTCAAACTTCCCCCCTTTTAATCTGCTAATACCAGTGGAATATTAAGTAGTTGTCACACGTGCAATTTAACCGTCCTGATGGTTGGAAATCGTATTTTTCTACCGTTAGTTTCGTGAGCGACCTCTGTTTCGTCACACTGGAGACCGTGGCTGACTCGTATTTGAATATTCAAGATATGAGAGCAATAACTGGTTAATGATTAAATTTATCACCCGTGACGTCATTTTAGTTCGAAGGTAGTGCGTGTTTGTGTTTGTTTATCCAAATATGGTAGTCATTCATTGATAAATTCTTACATATGTCATGCAATAGCGACATATTAATATGAATATTACTCGCTGAAAAGACCTTTTGGGTGTTTTGTATGACGTTTTTTCCATTATTTTTTTATAAGTTGAATTTAAAATATAGGGAAAAATTATATTCGCTGGATTTTATTTTCACTGACATTCCTTCAGCGAAAATAAGGTATTTTACAGTAATTAAAATAGTGCACCCGTTAATCAACTTAGCAGCAAACGTGTTAAATTGTAAAATTATCTTGTAGGATACTGATTTTATTCTGAGAACTTATGCAAACAAATAGTTTCCCATCATTAGTCCGACACTCAAAAGTAGCCTGGGTCGCCAACAATGTAACATAGAATTGCGACCTTCATACTCCAAATCAGACCATTTCTCCAACAAACACCGATCATATTGTATACATCACATTGAGAGAATATTACAACCAATACTATGGCAACTGTGTAATGCAACCAGTGGCTTTTATTAGATAATATCACCAATGTTTACTGATTGTACGAGTGATGTTTATACAATGTAATATAGTAGGTCTCTGACCTAGGTGACCAACTGATCCTGCTTTATCTATTCATGTGAAATGTCCGAGTCTGGATTACAGAACACTCAATACGTCGTTTCTGTAGATGTCGCCCTCTAGCGATGAAGCGCTGCAGTGGCGTAAACAGATGTAAGGGGAGCAATTTGCAGTGATGATATTGTTCTCTCTAGTCGTCCGTCGAAACAAAATTTCGTTTCTCGTCTAATACGTTTTATATTCTTAACTAACGAGCAACCACAAAACCAAAAGTTGCTTTCAACTATCTACTACAATTTTTCGTCCAAAAAACGATTAATCTAGTACCGATTGGGAACAAAAAAAATGATTGTACAAAAGAACCAAATAGGATCCGGACAAAACAGTGTATGGATTTAAACTCACATACATATATCTATACCATTTCTTGGTGAGAACACACGAATAAAATTCAACATAAATTATCCTGAAAATATTTCACGGGAACGAAAATATTTTATTAACAGTAATGAAGATATACTTGGGTAACAATATATTGAATATATGAACGTTAAAATTGGCATTAATACTAGAAATAAAATATGGAACATATACAATATGAATCTATAATGTACGTGACAATTCTAATGACCTGTGAGTCTGCAATGTACAATGACGGCATAAACTGCTAGTTTACTTGTCAAGGTATATGGGACGTATTCTATATATTTAAGTACTCTTCTTAGCAACGATGCCAAAACTGATTGATTAAAATTACAAAAAAATAAATACAAAATACAAGTATATATAATAATTTAAATTAAAAATAAGAATATGATAATGGCAGTATGTAAACTGTTCTCTTCTATATCAATTTCGCGTATCCATAAATACTGAACCATTACATGCAAACGTGAGTAAACAATCTAATTATAATAGTATATTGGATAAATAAAAACAATTTATATCCTTCTTGAATTTAATGACTTTGGATTATTTATGAACACATGTTGGGTTCGAAAAGACCGCATAAAGATACATGTACTTATGTTGTGTCAAATCGTGATATAATATGCTGTAACACTATTTGATTTTTTTTTACTATTATACCTAAATCTACGCACATGAACCTCAGTTATGATTGAATTTAAAGTTTAAATATAGTTAAAAAAAAGCTGCCAGAATGTAACCATATTTGATTAAGAACACCGTAACCGGAGATAAGTAAAGCGTTCACTATACTATACTATCATTATATATGATAAGCGTTTGTATAATTCTGCGTAGTATGTATTGTATCAGTATTCAATGTGCTGTTGTTTGAAATGATGCTTAGTTCGTTATGATGTCCATACGATGAGCTGAGATCTCGACTTAAGCGGAGAGTATCTGTACTTCTATTGCATTTTGGGTATCTGCTGGCGGCAGGGCTTCTATATCTGTGCTTGACATGCGCCCAGTTGGCAGATAGAATCATCAGGAAATTGCTCTGTCAAGAGATAAAACACGGTCTTTTATTTATGAGGCTATTACTTAAAAATGAGCGTGATACGTATGGCATCTCAAATAATATACAAACAGATAAAGCGTAACCGAATTAAATGTTGCCGAAATATAAGCGCACCCATGGTTTCAAAAAAAAATCATATTGACAATGGTGTAAATTTTGTATACTAATCGACTTCATGTATCCTGTAATGCATTGTTTATGCATTTGTTCAGCCAATATCTCATCTACAAACATTGTGGAACGTTAAGATACGTACGCCACCAGTGGCAAAATCAGTCGATGCCAAAGTGGAAAATTCCCTGAATTCAGTTGCATTTAAAATAACAAGTGTCCCAGTATATAACAATTTCCGATAATCTATGAATTCTGCGTGATAATTAACATAAATATGAGTTACTAAACTCATCCAAACAAATCCCAGCGTAAGTCCCACCATGGACACTACATTTCTTACTATAACCCAAAGCGAGGAGTGGCAAATATGTAAGCTGAATGGTCCCAATGATGTCAAGCGAAGGCACTTACCACCATAACAAGAACAACAGATGCCGCAATCAGTCCATATAAATACAATTCGTAGGGATTCTGAAATAATAGCATCACAAATATTTTTAATGTAAAAAATGTATTGCGGTGTGTGCTCACACTGTGTTTGACTTTACAAGAATTTCTCGAGAAAAGGAGGTGGACAGGATACGACGTTCACCGAAAGCATGCAAAAGTTAAGTCATATATTTTTAGAACATATACAGAATTTCGATATATTACAACAATGCGGAATATATTTGAAGGGAAAAGTGGACAACTTTGAGCGTGTGTTAGTAGTTGTGTTGATATACACAGTGATTTAGGATTTACCGCAGTGTTTCCAGGTCGTTCATAAAAATGTGTTGTGTGATGAAATACAGAACTTAGTAAATGCGCATGCGCATTAAATTACTGGTACGTACGATAAAAATAGCCTGTGCATAGTCTATGTCATACCAATACGAACTTACAATATGTCTTTGAAATGCTATAGCAATAGTCCCTATTAATATTACGCATAATCCGAGGTCATGGTGACAAAATTAGAAAACGTGACACTCACCTGACTACAATATAAATTTCTATCACAGAAAAGATATACGTCTTGATTTGGTTCGGTAATATTAGCGAAGCCTATAGGAAAAGGAACATTGACTTGTATGAAAAAAAGTTCTGTTCTTGATTCTATTTATAGGCAATAAAATGCTAAGACAATGTAAGTATGAACTATACATCTGACTCATACATATATATACATACTGACATTACTGGCCAATCAGAGGACGATGTCAGGGTCGCGATGGTGACATTAATGACTATTTATAGGACGGTGAAAGGGTCGATGCTAGCATTACTGGATATTCAGAGGACAGTAGCAGGTTTGATGCAGAAATTCTGATCTGCTGCTTCCCGGCGTCCTTTCGTGTACAGAATGTCGGGAAACAGTGAAAATCGTGGTTGCGTGCACTTGACGTCATTTCCGCATTGTATTTTTGAGAATTCGTAACATTAACAAGCATTTTTACGAGTTACTTCCACGTTCATTCATGAATATAACCTTAATTGCGCTTTATACTTCCTGTCAGGGAATGTTATGTGTCAACAAATACCATTTTTAAGGATTATTCCAAAGATGCTAAATTTTACAATTATGTCTGAGTATTAAACACTCAGGGTTCACTCACCATATTGTCTTAAATCTATACATCGGCCAGGGTCACCACAGTGATTCTCTTTTATGATGTAGAAAAAGATAAATGGGATCACGGCCACCATGGTAACAGCAATCCAGCAAATAAGTAATGTATAACTAATAATAGTAACCTTGTAACATAAAAGAGAAATATGATTGTCTCAGTGTCAATGTCGTAATCTATCGTTAAAATCATAAATTATTTTGATTTTACACATTCAAATTCTATACTCACGGTTACTATTTGGCATAGTCCCGCATTCCTGGATTTGAACCTACAGATATATTCTTTTCTCACGGATCCTGTTGCCAGGCAGCCGACAGCCATAAACGTGAAAGCAACTGCAATTGTCAAAGCGGTCACGCAGTAAACTGAAATTTTCCCCCAATATAGTCTGTTGACAAAATGGAAATTACACATAGAACTTTAACACTTACGAATTTCGCATTGTTAAATGGAAATCATACATGAAGCGTAACACTTACGTATTTTCTATGGTGTATCTTGCTGCTGTATCTTGAAATATGTTAATGGTATCTTCGGCAGCCAGGTGTAAGCATGCGCAGAATGTCGAGATGGCGATACAGAATGCGATCTGTGTGATGACTGATGGCCACGGCCAACGATCACAGCACCGCCGACATTGACTTTTTTCTGTTGGATAAAAAATAACAGACTTATCACACACCCTATATATGTGTATACGTGCTACAATTCTATCAGGCAGTGTAAGCCACAGAATAGCCTTCATCTACGGTTATATGCTCCCGATAACACTATATCCAGAATCTGAACAAACAATTTCTCCTGTACGTATTTTTGTAAGAAGTTTATTTATCTAAAGCACGCTAAACAAACACCCAGTAATGTCACACACTTTTCAATACGTCTCTGTCACGGTGTTTGTGATACTACTGTCGGACATTAGCACTGTAGTGACAAGCAACGCCAAAACTTCATTAATCAACACAAGGTCAACAAGTGGCACGTTGAAAATCTAGTTGAATATACTGAAAATAGTTTCCCCACAGGCACGGTACAGAGAGTATAATCCCCCACCCCCCGCCCGCCCCGCCTGCCGTGGTTAAACTCCAAATACACTCATAGTACTGGTACTTCTACGGTCTATATATGTAGGCATATATTTTGTCCCAATGATCACGAAAGTATATACTTGGTCGTTGTGTAATTCCTAGTTGTATGCACATCTAACAAATAACAGTGTACTTCTACATGCACGCATACATACATTCATGTTATGTGATACTAATTCGTTAGCTAAAAAAATGAAACAGGAAATCAGAATTCTTTCCCATAAGGCACTGGACAAACGACCTTATGACGCAGGAGAACTTATATGAGTACACCTTTCTTACTGTGCGTAAGTGATTTCATTTCCGGTGAAATAATTACTCATCGTGGACCACCCTGGCTCACGTGAAACCTCGAATACTGGTTAAATGCGCCCCTGACTGGAAGTGAGCAAGACATTCTTGGCGACAATAAAATACGCCCACGAATGCCTCAGTAATTGTACGTTGATTTCCGTAAAGATATATGTACACTTTCTCACTAACACATAGCCATATAGTTCGATTGTAATTATTGTAATTTCCATCTTTTTCCAGTACTAGTTTAACATGCAAATACCCTCCGTAGCAGTGTAAATCGTGAGATATTGGACAAGAAATTTAATTTTGATATTATTATGTCTAATTGATAACATTTTAGTACAACGTCAAACGCACTCAATTACGTTTACAGTATTAGATATATACGATGGATTTACAAACAAACAACATACCTTCGTAATGGCGATCACCATATTCAAACCTTGGCGAAGTGAACATAATAACTGTAGCAGTAGGCACCCACAGTAGAATGTCTAATTTCCAGTTTGATTCGATAGCTGTTCGCCGTACGAACTTTTAACCAATGATTCTTCGCAGTCTGAAATGACGCCGTCGTCGCCGTTTATATATTTACCAGATAGGTTGACCTTTGTAGATCACAATCATTATACGAATATGGCGGTTTATCACCTTAGTGATCTGAATAGAGTTAGAGCGAGTTAATGTGTAACGAACTGCATGACTGCGACCACAATCTCAGGTGAAAATGTAAACAAATACACTACATTTTAAAGTGAAATACGAGCTCTTCTAACAGTGCCGGTACATGCACGTCTTATTTCAATTATGTTGAGATTCCAATAACTC